TGCTATACATCCATAACCGGTTGGCAGGGAAGCTCTGTTCATTACAAATACTCAGGAATTCAATCCCCATCTTGAAAGGTAGTTTTGTCATGACCAAAGGAAAATAGAACTCCAGCAGGACTTGCACTGGAAATTAACTGCTAAACCCTAAAGTAACACTTATCACTTCTGTTCACACCTTATCAGCCACGAGAGTCACAGAGCCCAAGGGAGCACAGAAAATACAATCCTACTATGTGTCAAAAGATGCTTCAGCTAGAAATACTGGTGAACAGCACTTATGACAACCACTAGAACTATGAGGGGAAATGTGAATGATCCATATAATGGACTACTACACAGCATTTCAAACAAGTAAACTACACTTATATAAATAAAGAAAATCAGTCCTTTACTAACATATAAGCCATATAAGAGCAGATGTTTCTATTTGTTTGGGTCAGAGGTGTATCCCCAACACCAAGTATCCCCAACACCTAGCATACTTTAGGTACTTAATTCATTTTTGTTGAATAAATGAGTCTCAAAAAAATGAGAAATGAGAACTATTCATGTAAATATTTTTAAAAACATGAAATAATACAATGATTTATAGACACCAAAAACATGCAGCAAAGGAAACATCAGATTTAATATGGGGAGTAGGGAAAGAAATAGGATGGAGGAAGGGACATAAGTCTTATCTGTAATATTTTAAAATGTATATCTTTACCTCTTTCTGTCCATGTGTTTGTTCATATGTGCACGCATGCACACACACACACACACAAAGGTCTATCCAGAAAGTATCCAGCCATGTGATATGAAAAACAGAGACCTTTACTGAAGAAGATACAACATACAAGAAACACTGTACATAGGATAATGATGCTCCAGTCCCCTTCAAAGTAGCACCTTGGGATCTCATACAACTTTCCCAGCTGCCATCAACTGCCCCATCATATTTTTCTGAATCTCACTGATGGTCTGAAATCTCTTCCCTTTCAAAGGTGACTTTAGTTTTGGGAAAAGGCAGAAGTCATAGGGCACCAAATCTGGGCTGTCAGGGGGCTGAGACACCTGGGTGATTTGATGCTTCACTGAAAAACTACATAAGATGTAATGCCTGAGCAGGAGTTGCCATGATGAAGCTGCCAACCACCAGTTGTCCACAGCTGCAGCCTTCTGAATCACCCAGATAGTTTTCATGGGGGAATGTTCAAGCTTAACTAAAAAACTGTTACAGATTTGTTGCTCTACTCACTCGGTCATTTTGAATGTGACAGACACATAGTACACATGCTCACGCATCTACTGCCCCCACTGAATAGGATAGTGAAGTGGTCGTTGCTCACACATGTGCATCCCAGTCCATTCTCCTTGGCTGCCAGGTTACATCAACATGTAAACCACTATCATTATAGGAACAATGGTTGGACTTTTTCTGGACTACCTCATATATATATATATATATATATATATATATATATACACACACACACACACACACACACATACAGACATATATATACACATACACTTACATATGTATGTGTATATATATACATATACACACACACATATATATACACATACATATATGTGAAACAAAACAGGAAAAGTTAGTATTTGTTAATTCAGAGAATTCACATAAGCATTCTTTTATTTTCTATAACTTTAGAACTTCACAAAAAGATTGTCAGGAAAATCATATTCCTCTCACATCTCATATTTTTCTACCTATGTTATTTTATGTGAACATGTCCTCCTGAAGAGAAGGAAGCCAGAGAAATAATCCTAAGAAACTTAAAATTTTTAATGCCTCATGCTTTAGATTTAAAATTCTTGAGAATGTAGAATTTTTATTCACAACATTTCTATTCTTATTTCAATATTAAATGCATTTTAATTCCATATTTTTCCCTTTAAAACCTAGGTAAAATTAACATTTCTAGAAGATGTGTTCTATTTATCCTGCAGCTTCACATACTCCCCCATCGTACTACATGGTACCCCAAGGCAGAGAGGGCAGGGATGCTTACTCTAGTTTGAAAAGAAAAGCCAAAAAGTCACTATAGAGTTTTCTCTAGAATAAATGAGAAAATACAAAGGACTTCCAGCCAAGATAGAAATGTAGGTGGAAACACTGTGCCTCCTCGCACAACCAAGTTTAAAGACAACAAAGTTTTAGCAACAAAAACACAGCCAAAACACAGAAAATTGAACTGTAGGAAAGTCCGACAACAACGAACCATTCAGCCAGACCGGTAAGGGGCGGAGTCAGCGGCAGAGCAGGGGTTGGGCAGGAAAAATCAGGGACGAGCCCAGGAGCGCAGGCGGTGGTTGGTGGATTCCAGGTGTGGGGTGGCAACGGGTAGACCTAGTGAGGCTACAAGGCGGCTTGCTGACCACAGTCACACATTTGAGGGCAGATAAACCAAGTAAAGGAGCGAGCAGTGAGACAGACCGCTCAGGCCAGGGCCCCAGGGACAGGAATTGGTGCCTGAAAGCACCAATTAGAAAGACTTTGGGGTCGAGGTGCCAGGAGAAGCTCCCAGGCTCACAGAGTCCCTTGGAGAGACCTACAGGGTACTGGAGGGTGCACAAGTCCACACACCTGGGAACCAGCACCAGAAGGGCCCAATTTGCTTATGGGAAGCGGCAGAGGGGACAGAAATCTGAGAGCAGAACAAATGCCATTACCCCTCTCTGACCCCGCCCCCACATACAGTGTCACAATCCAGCAACCTGGGTGGCCCCGCCCATGGGGTGAATACTTAAGGCTCCACCCCTCATACATAACAGGTAGGAACAGACCAAAACATTATGGCTCAAGAACAGCTCAAAGCCCCAGAGCCAATAAATCTAAGCGACCAAGAGATAGCTAAACTTTCAGATGCACAGTTCAAAACACTGGTGATCGGGATGCTCACAGAATTGGTTGATTTTAGTCACAAATTAGAGTAACAAATGAAGGCTAATCTAAGTGAAATGAAGGGAAATGCACAGGAAATCAATAGTGATGGGAAAGAAACTGGGACTCAAATCAAGGGAGTAGACCAGAAGGAAGAAAAAAATGACCAAACAAAAAAGAATGAAGAAGTAAGAATTCAAAAAACTGAGGAGAGGCTTAGGAACCTCCAGGACATCTTTAAATTCTCCAACATCTGAATTATAGGGGTACCAGAAGGGGAAGAGAAAGAGCAAGTGGAAAACTTAATTGAACAAATAATAAAGGAGAACTTCCCCAATCTGGCAAAGGAAATAGACTTCCAGAAAATCCAGGAAGCTCAGAGAGTCCCAAAGAACTTGGACCCAAGAAGGAGTACACCAAGACACATCATAATTACATTAGCCAAGATTCAAATGAAGGAGAGAATCCTAGAAGCAGCAAGAGATGAAGAGACAGTCACCTACAAAGGAGTCCCCATCAGACTGTCAGCTGATTTCTCAAAACAGACCTTACAGGCAAGAAGGAACTGGAAAGAAGTATTCCAAGTCATGAAACCCAAAGACCTACACCCAAGATTACTCTATCCAGCAAAGCTTTCATTTAGAATGGAAGGGCAGATAAAGTGCTTCTCAGATAAGGTCAAGTTCAAGGAGTTCATCATCACCAAGCCCTTATTATATGAAATGTTAAAGGGACTTACTTACCTAAGAAAAAGAAGATAAAAAACATGAACAATGAAAGGACAGCAAACTCACAGTTATTAACAACCACACCTAAAACAAAAGCAATCTCAGAGGACAGCTAGATCAGGAGTGGAACCATAGAAATGAAGATCTCATGGAGGGTTAGCAACAGGGGAGTGGGAGGAGGAGAAGTGGGGAGAAGGTACAGAGAATAAGTAGCATAGATGGCAGGTAGAAAATAGATAGGGGGGAGGGCAAGAATAATATGGGAAATATAGAATCTAAAGAACTTGTGACACGTGGGCATAAACTAAAGGGGGGGAAGGTGGGGGAGGGGTGTGCAGGGTGGAGGGGAATGAAGGGGGGAAATAGGACAACTGTAATGGCATAATCAATAAAATAATTTTAAAAAAAGAATAGTATGGGAAGTGGAGAAGACAAAGAACTTATATGTACAGCCCGTGGACATGAACAAAGGGGGAGGGGAATTCTGCTGGGAGTGGGATGCAGGGTGGTAGGGAATAAAAGGGAGAAAAATTGGGACAACTGTAATAGCATAATCAATAAAATATATTAAAAAACAAACAAAAAAGAAAATACAACACACAACAGAGAAATCCTTTAAACTTAACCTTGACCTTGTCCCCTGTGATCGTTAATTTTATGTGTCAAGTTGGCTAGACCACAGTACTGGATATTTTTGGTCAAATATTATTCCAGATACTTCCATGAAGGTGTTTATAGATGAAAATTGTTAACATTTAAATCAACAGACTGTTAGGAAAGAAGATTCCTCTCCCTAATGTAGGTGGGCTTCACTCATTTGAAGACCTTAATAGAAAAAAGACTGCCTTTCCCCGAGGAAGAGGGAATTTTGCCAGCAGACTGCCTTTAGACTCAGGCTACAATCAATATCTACTCTCCCCTGATACTCTAGCCTATCGGCCTGCTCTGCAGATTTTAGACTTAGACCTTCCAGCCTCCGTAATCACATAAAACAGCTGCTTAAAGTAGTACCCCCCCCTACACACACACACACACACACACACACACACACAAACTTTATGGTTCTGTTCAGTGGAGAATCCCTGCACCAGAACCACTAACTATTTTTCTGTTACAGTCCTAAGCCAAACCATGTTTCTCAAACCAATTACCACTAAAACAGTTATATGCTTTCCCCTTGACAAAATATATCAGTATACCACTAGTATGGGTAAGTAGCGGGATAAATCAATAAATATACAAAAGGCTAGAGAAGATGTTACATGAACTTAATTATTTTTAAAAGGTTACCTAAATATATACCTTAAAGGTATTTTAAATCACAGAAATTTTAGATAATTAATTTTTAAAAATTATTCAATTTAAAAAAAACACCTTACCTTTTAGTTTTCATCTGGTCCCTTAGTTTGCTATACATCTCCAGGACTTGAAAAAGAAGGGGGAAAAAGCACACAAGCATTATTTAGAGAAGTGAAAGACTAATTAAAGCTAAAGGAATTGCATCAAGAATCCTAAACCATTTCCAGTTTCTCACCTGGAAGACACAGCATTAATTTATCAACAGTGGCAGAAATATTTCTCTGTTGTAGTCGACACTGCTTCAGCTCTTCCATTGCTATTACCAGCTTGGCAAGAGGGGAAAAAACTGAATTATGCCAATAGCTGTAAATAAAAAGCTTTCAGTCACATTTTTCAACCCTGTGTTCAGTTCATCAGAAAATCCCAGTTTCACAGTAAGACCTGCCAAGTGGGCTAAGGAACGGCCTTTCTCAATCAGTAAAACACTGCTGCTTGGTTTCCTACTTTCTCCTCAGCACACATGCTCTATACCGGGAAAGGCTAGGTAAAATGAAACCCTGAAATTCAGAGGCTATCCAGGAGAAAACAACATCTTCAGAGCTCCTCCAAACCCTATTCAGATTCTTCATGATTTATGGTTTCTTCACTCTTCTGAAAAGATCCCGTTTTTCTTTTATCAGTGCTAGAGTACTAAAGGAAAATAATCCTTCTCATACAGTTTCAAATGAGTCTTGAAAATAATTTCAATTAAAGCTCGATTTCTGTAAATAAACCACACACTTAGAATTGTGATTTTCCAAAAATTCCATTTGAGTGAACAATAAGTCACTTTTCTTCCCATATCTGTTTTAAAGGCTTTGGTCTAAAGTCATACCACAATAAAACTAGAAGAAACTGCACTCTCTGCAGAATTTAAAATATGTGATGAACTGTCAAAAAGCAATACTCTAGCTACATAGCCTCTTGTAGCATTCCCACACGCATGTCTAAAATGTTATCTACTAAAAAAGAACAAAAGATAATGACCCTGATCAAGTCACTGATAAAACAAGCAGGAGCTAATCTTAAAGATTATTACAGTTGAACAATAAGTGCTAGGCAATAAGAAAGGCACGTGATTCGCAGAAGAGAAATGGACTGTTACAAGTCAGGAAACTTCAGTTTTGGTCTCAGCCTTCCCATTTACTATGTAAACTTCAGCAAATCCTCTGTTTTAGTTTTCTCATCAATGTAATAGTGATAATACATGTTCTGACTTTGTCATAAGTCTGCCATGAGGATCAAGTGAGAAAATGGAGATAAATTTGTAAACTTGATCATTTAAATGAGGAGTAAATTAATGGCACGAGTGATTCATTTTTTAGCAGGTGTTTATCAAGCACCCACTTCGTTCCAGTCGCTGTTTACAAAGGTAGAGGGGATACAGTAATAAACACAACAAACAAAAAATTTCCAACCTCATGGAACTTAACTGCTAATGGAAGGAGACAGACATTAAACAAATACACAAGTAAACACAAGTAAAAACATACGCTATCAGAGTATGATAGATGCAATGGAGAAAAATAAAGCAAGAAAGGTAAAACAAAAAAAAAAGAACACAGGGGGTTGAGAGTGAAACTGCAATTTCAATTAAGGTGGCTAGAAAATGCCTCAGCAAGGAGGTAACAATCAAAACAGAAAGGTCTGAAGTGGCATTCAGGAAAAGGGCGTTCCAGGAACAGGGAGCAGCAAGTCCTTACGACGACTACCCCGTACCTTAAAAACACAGGCAGGGAAGGCTACATCCTCTCTCATTATGCTTTCTAGTGGCTTTATTTATTTCATTCAGATACACAGTAGGAGAAGCAACAATAATACCCAAATTCCTCCAATATACTGCTTATCGTCTTGTAAGCCACTAAGTCAAGAACACAGTCATCAAAAGAGAATGACAGAAGACAGAAAAGGTTTTTTCAAAAGGTAAACCGGCCTTACTTCCTTTCCCTCATGCTGTAGTTTTCTATTAGTATCCGTCACTTGATTCTGTGGAGAGAAGACAATTTAAACTCATAAAAACAAACATTTAGACAACTTTGCATAAGATCAAAATTTACAACAAAAACACTGAGTATATGCTTTCAGATAGTTTATCAGTATTCCACCACATTTTGGTTTACTCACTCTTGTGTTTAAATTATATGAACTTTTCTACTAAATGTTGCATGGCCTTTCAACAATGAAAAGAAAAATTTACTAAGAGGTACGTTCTGTTTAGTATATTCCAAATGATACTGTAACAACTAAAGATCATACTTTATTTTTTTTAATAAAAAGAAAAAATAACCCACAAAGAATCTTACCATCTCTATTACGTTCAGAAAGAACAAATTTTATCATAGATATTCCTCACTTCACTAATATATTCCTGGGAAATCTGCATAAATTGAACTCTCTAACTCAAGTGAAATTTACCCTATTTATTATTCTAATTTTGGAAAGTGTTTTATCTTAATTCTTTATGGATCATTAATTCTTAATACCCCCTACTGCTTCTATATTCCCATTTTTCTAATTTTTTTTCCTTAAGAATTTTATGTATTTATCTTTAGAGAGAGAGGACCAGAGAGAGAAAGAAAGGGAGAGAAATATCAGTGTGTGACTGCCTCTCACATGCCCCCAACTGGAGACCTGGCCCACAACCTAGGCATGTGCCCTGACTGGGAATCGATCCGGTGACTCTTTGGTTCACAGGCCAGCAGCTCTCAATCCACTGAGCCACACCAGCCAGGGCTAGCTGTTTTTCTAAATTAATCTCTCCATCAGATAGTCAAAACTTTGTAAATAGCCTTAAAATTATCTAGAGTTCATAATTTAAAGGAACTGGCACCACTTTCTTGGGTATTTACTTTTGAAGACTCAAGTGATATAAAAGAAAAAATATATAGAAAAGTTATTTCCTCATCATTATCAAAATGTTGACCAGTTAGACATTATCAAAAGATGACCAATATTAGCTTCTAAAGACTCTCTACCCTTCTACCAGTAGCTGCCACTCCTTACAGTTTTAAGGCATTCCCTTAACCTGGAATCTCCTACTGCGTCCCTGAGAACACCAAGAAGTGTCTAGCAGGCAGTCTGTGTGTGCACACGGAGGTGCACCCGTGCACAAGCACACCCGGTCCACATGGGAGACACCACTGAGCGGGTGAGCTTACTGAGGGCTTCTTTACAGCTTTCACATTCCACACGCACTGTGAGTGCCCAAGCAGGGGGTCTCACAGAGTCTTCTCCAAAGTCATTTAACATAACACCCTTTCATTGAGGATCACATCAAGAAACTAGGGTGGGTTTTTTTGTCCTGCCCACATGGCTCAGTGAGTTGGAGCGTCATCTCGTACACCAACAGGATGCAGGTTTGATCCCCGGTCAGGGCATCCTCTCTCTCTCTGCCTCTCTCTCTCTCTAAAAATCAATAAAAACATATCCTTAGGTAAGGATTTTAAAAAAAAAACAAAGAAGGAAACTAGATTTTCAGAAACACTTTTTTGAAAACCTTGCCCTAAACTATACCTGGACTATCATTTTCAGAGCAGACTACCACATGGACCCCCTTTCCAAGGCAGTGAAATCCAACTTCCTCCAGAACGTCTTTAAAAGTATCAAAAACAGAAGCAAGAAACCCCCAGATTCCCCCTTGATTATTTATTTAATAGCACCACATGTGAAACACTTGGTGTTACGGGACTGTGAGCTCAACATATGATGTAGCCATCCAAACATTCCAAAACTACACTAACAGTGTTGTCTAAAATGGGTCAGCAAACTGTTTTTGTATAGTGCCAGGTAGATCGGCTGTTGCAACTACTCGACTCTACAATTACAGCCCAAATGCAGTCAAAAACATAACATAAATGAATGGACATTGCTGTGTTCCAATAACTTTAATTACTAAAATAGGAGGCAAGCTGGATTTGGACTGCAAGACATAGTTTGCTGATCTTTGGTCTAGAGTAAGAGAGATGGTAAGGCTCTAAGAGCCCTGGCCGGTATAGCTCAGTTGGTTGGAGTCTCATCCTATAAACCAAAAGATCATGGGTTCAATTCCCAGTCAAAGCACATGCTAGATTGAGGTTCAGTCCCCAGTCAGGGCAAGCAGGAGAGGCAACCAATCAATGTTGCTCTCTTACATCATTGTTCCTCTTTCTTTCTATCTCCCTCCCATCCCCCCTCTCTGAAATCAGTAAGCATGAGGGGGGCAGAGAGGGGAGAAACTGTACTTGAACAATAAAAATAAATAAAATAAAATCAATAAGCATATCCTAAAGTGAGGATTAAATTTTTTTTGAAAAACATCCCACAATGAGAATTACATTCAGATGCCATGCTTTAGGAAACCCAGTGGCAAACTAAAGCACGATTAGATGTGAATATGTTTGAAGAGGGGGTCAAATCTAACCACATGAAAAACAGAGAAATGAATTTCCAGCGGGAATGTTATCAGCACCCAGGGTTCTCGCAGTCTCCAGGACAGACATGAAAAGAGATCACCAGAGACCAGCATAGAGCCTGGTCATGGGCTGCAATGGACTGGCTGGAATGGAACCGAAACGTACCACATGGCAGGGAATAATCCTACCACTGAACCAACCCAGGGTCTTGGGCACTCCTAAAATGGAAATCAAGAGAGCTCACCACGAAAAGGGGGCTCATTATATATAGCTTGAGACAATATTTAAAGGGAAAAAGAGCAATGCTGCTCCTCAAACAAAAGCAGAACAGTTTTAAAGAAGCTGAGGTGGGAAAGATGAGGTCTGAGTATACAGAGCCAGACACTCTGGCACTTCCACAGCATACCTATCGAATACGTGCTCCTTCATGCATTGCATGTCTCACTAACATATTACATCTCCACCCTGGTTTGTTTGTTTTTTTAATCTTTTTAACTATTAGAATGAGAGTAAGGCCCTGGCTGGTGTAGCTCAGTGGATTGAGTGCGGGCCTGAGAACCAGAGGATGGCGGTTCAATTCCCAGTCAGGGCACATGCCTGGGTTGCAGGCCAGTTTCCAGCAGGGGACACACAAGAGGCAACCATACATTGATATTTCTCTCCCTCTCTCCTTCCCTTCTCCTCTAAAGATAAATAAAATAATTTTTTTAAAAAAGAATGAGAGTAAGGTCTCCCAGCAATCAATTGTTCTGAGCTTAACTGCACATGCGTTAGGGTCAAGAAAATCTTTGGAGAAGAAAGTGGTACCTGGCATTATTAGGTACAGAGTTTGAGGGGCAACTAATGGAAATGCCAGTCTTATCTAGGAGAGACTCAGCCTAGCTCACAAAAAGGGAAAATATTCTTGTGAAGGCGCTATACACTAAACCTGAGCACTATACACTAACAGGGGTGTCCAACCTTTTGGTGGTCTCTGGACACACTGGAAGAAGAGTTTTCTTTGGCCGCATATTAAATATATTGCAAAAAATCTCATAGTGTTTTAAGTAAATTTACAATTGTGTGTTGGGCTGCATTCACAGCCATCCTGAGCCTCACGCAGCCCATGAGCCGCAGGTTGGACCCCCTGCACCCTCCCTGAACAGCAGCTGTCCTGCAAACACTTGAAGAGCCATCAGAAGAAAGGTGGCGGGCGCCCTAAAACTAGTACTTACTCAAACCAAGAAATAGATGTTACTAGAAAACAGAATAACAATTCAGTATAAGAAAAAGCTTCCAGGCAATGAGAATAAAAATGGGGTAGGTTTCCTTGAATAGTAGTGTTTCCCCTTCAGAGCAGTTATTCACAAATAATTTGATTATTTTTTATCCTAAACTGGAGATTTCCTAAAATTCATCCTTCTATAAATATTACTAAATTTGGCATCATTGTCTTTGCTAGAATACCTTGTTTAGCATGTAAAGACATTTCTGAAACATTTTTTATCTCAAACTCACTGTAAGAAATGAGAAAATTTTATACTGCACTAAAAACCAAAAAAGAAATTTCAACAAACAATGTTTACCTTTCCCACATGTAATACACTTCATTATTTTCTAGTCTACTTATTCTATTTCATTTCAATTCTCATAAGAATATTGACTGTGGCCCACTAATTGATTTCATACAAACCAGATTCTCAAACATACTCAAAGGACCCTAATAACGTATCTGGTAAGAAATTACTATTTCAATACTATTTTAATATAACAATTAAAAGAAACTTGGGGGATGCTGGGTGGAGGGAGCAAAAGGGGGGAAATTGGGACAACTATAATAGCATAATCAATAAAATATAATCTAAAAAATTTTTAAATAGGTAATACCTGACTATTTAATCATGTATTTTCCTTTAGATTGTCAAATTTTTTTTAAAAAATGACAACAGCCAATACAAAACAGAAGAAAAAGGAGGAGGAGGAGGAGGAAGAGGAGGAAGAAGAGGAAGAGGAGGAGAAACAACTACACTGCCCCTCTAGGATGCTACTTCTCTTCATTCAGAATCACAGTAGCATACACACAAACACACACATGCTGTGAATCTAAAGAGTAGGCATCCTAGAGAGAGTAGTTTGTTTTCATTGTTATGTTAAAATAGTACTGAACAGTTAATGCTTAATCTTTTCCATTTTCTAAACTCTAGAGTTCCAGAAGCTCTAAATTCCATAGATTATTCACCCTGGTGGAACGGATCCCCCTAGAGCAGGGCCTCCATGGTGTGCTGCTAGACTTCAATCCCCTCGATTCTCAGAGTGGAGCCTGAGCAGCCAAACCCCTGAACTGCTAGCCCCCAGTTCTTGCTTTCCCTCGGGGGCATCCTGAGTAATTTAAAGGAATTTGCAGCTTGAAGAAGACAGGATGAGTCCCCACCAGTAAGTGATAACTGTAATTGGTGAGCATTATAGGCAGTAGTAGTCAGTGCTACCTGCCCATACACGCCTACATCAGTAACTGGAGACAGAACACCCTGGTGCCCATCAGGAATGAGGGGCACAGAGAGCAGAGGGCGAAGTCTCAAATACAGGTGTTCAAGGGGCATAGAAAAGAACAGCCCAGCGTGAAGGTGGGAAGCAGGGATGGCTAGGTAAGAACAAACAGCACACGCAGCTCTTGGCAGGAACTCCAATCTTTGTTTTCAAATATTTGAAATTCTTTTGTCCATCTGAAGCTGCTTGGCCTCTAAAAATTCAGATAACTTTTTATTTTAAATAGGATCAGATTGTTCATGTTTTTTTTGACTGCTTTATACATAGGTAAACATGTCTAACACTTTCCCCTATCAGACATTGTTCTACAACATACCGGAGTTTATTTTTCTTTTATTTTTCTTTTAAATGAATGCACCATGACTTATTTTAAATGAATGTACCATGACTATTCCTTTACCAAATGACTTTTAGGGACATTTTAATGTTTTATCTATTAAAAAACATTATATGAATACCTTGTACATGTTCCTGCATTGCCTTAGAATAAATCTTAAAATTATGTGGAGTTTCAAGTGTCGGTAAATAAAACTCTTCTTCTCAAAGGTTGAAATAATGTAGACTCCACTCAGGCATTCCTGATTTATTAGTATCATCTCCAATCTTAAATATTATTTTTCATCTTTGTCATTTTAATAGGTGACACTTTATATTTCCAATATGCATTCCTTTAATTATGTCTAACTGGCAGAGCTTGCTTGTATTTTTTTTTTTGTACATTGCATATAGTGTGTATTTCTCAGTTTTCTATGAGTGTTCTATTAATCTGTAAAGACCTTTTATATGTTAAGAATATCAATTGTCATGGATACTCATAAATATTTTTGTTACCTTTTAACTTGTAAGTTGTATGTAGAAGTCTCACTCATTTTAATGTTCTCACGCCCAGCAATTTTTTCTTTCTGCCTTAAGAACTAGGTTTTAGAAAAGTCTTCAGCGTGCCAAAATCAGAGTACCCATCTATATTTTCTACCAGTTACTTTATGATTTTATTTTTTACATTTAACTCTTTAGTTCACCTGAAATTAATTCTGACATGTTGACTGAGAAAGGTATTTAATTTCAATTAGTTAGGCATTAAAGAATATGAACAATAAATCAGGAGAGTTCTTATTTGTGGAGGGGAGGATGGGGGAAGCAACTGAGAAGGGTGCCCAAGAAGAGCACTGTGAGCGCATTTAACTGGCAGTGTGGTGATACTGCATTTCTTAAGGTAGCTGGAGGGTTGCTGTACAGGTCCCTAAACTCTTACCTGAAACCCTGGGGCCCACTGTGTTTTGGACTTCAGAATTTTAGAGAGTTTATGAAGATAATATGGTACATGTTTTATATTACACAATCAGTGGGTATTAGGGTAGCATCCCACAACCACATTACTATTTCTATAGCGAAGTGCAAAAATTTATATTAAATAAAATATATTAAGAAGTATGATATCTTCATATCCATTCAGGTCAGATTTTGTAGCCAAATCAGCTTTTAAACTATTGTAGCTTTAAAATATAATTTAACATCTAATAGCCCGATTCTCCCCTTGATAAAACTGTTTCTTTGCTTTTACTACCAATGTATTCTTTTATATAAATTTTACACTCACTGCCAAGGAATACCCTTTGGTATTTTCATTCAAATTCAAATAAAAAACAAAGAGAGGAAAGAAAAATTAGAAGTATAAGAACTGGAACGAAGGAATTAAAGCTATTATTATTTGCAGATTATATGAATAAGTTTACATAGAAATTTCAAAAAAATCTACATACAAATTTTTAGAAATAATAGAAGAATTTAGTGAAGTGGTTAGATTTAAAATCAATAAGCAAAGTCAGTCATCCAAGGTAAGTGAATTTGCTAAGCCAGGGACCAGACTAATATGGTTCACCTCCTTCCTGAACTTGAATCTGTCGTATCAAGAAAAACCTTCACAATTTGGTAGAAGACATGTCACAACTGTCACTGATTTTATCTCCTCTGGTCGCCATGCTGCAGAGCTCAGAGGCAGGCCCCGCAACACCACCACCCTACGGGGATGACTTTCATCGAGTAAGAAGTACATGGACGTCGTGAAGAGTCAATGAGTTTCTGTTTGAAAGAAACTATTATCTGCTCTGTTTCTGGTTCTCATCCACATGTAGTTATCCCAAATACATTTCATTTAAAAGATTTTTTTTTAGCTAAAAGCCATACTCCCAATTATATATGTTTCAGTTCAAATTCCTTTCTTTACTATACAAAAATCTTATTTGAGTACATATGTAACCTACAATATACTCCCTACTCCTCTAATGCTAGTCAAAACCCCAGCACGGGACAGGGAAACAAGCCCCTCTTCTAAGAGTGTCCTTACTTTGAGCTTCTGAGCTTCTCCTCTCACTTTCAGCAGCTCAGTTATCGAGTCCACAAAGCCCTGGTAGTGAAAGTTGCACATTTTCTCAATTTCTCGATCGTGATTGCGAATGCGAGTTTCAAGTTTCTCCATAAATCGTCCGTGCTCCTCACCATCATAGACAGACCTTTAAAAAAATGGCAGAGATTACACCAAATTTACTTCAAATAAATTTTTTAAAAGTTGCAAACTCAGAAGCAAATTTATGTAGAAATTAGATATTAATGTACATAAACCACAGAGTAATCCAATGGCATCATATTGTCCCAATGGTACATGAGTTATGTTTTAGGAAAACCCAAGTTTTTTATTCCTATTCATTCAAAAATATATTCAAGAAGTGTTTGACAGTGTTTATAAAGAATTTTCATAAAATGAAGAACTGAGTTTATAAATCTTTTGTATTTTTCTTTCTCAAATTAATCTAGAAAAACTCAATTTTGGATAAACACAACTTGAAACACTCCATGACTATACTCAAAAAGCTGACACTGCTGGGAAAAAAACCACACAGCTGCGCCAGCTAGTTTCAGGTGGTCTATGTACCTACAAAGCTAAATCAGGCAACCAATAAATACCACTAGGTAATACTACTAAATCTATCTCCCTACCACCACCACCACTATCAAAAAAATTACTTTGTATTCTGCAAAATAACTGTGTAAAAACCTCACTTTCTCCTCTCCTCAAATGCTCACCCCCTCACTCTCAGCTGCAGATCACAGAAAAAAGCATTTCCTCTTCTCCCACTATAATCCAACAACCTACTGCATCTATAACTCCTACTCTGTCCACCCTCCTCTAATGGAAAAATATTTCAAGCTCTTAGCTACAGTCAATCCTTGTCTCAAGAACTTTATTCCTGCACTTATTCCCTTTTTATCCCTCCCCTGCATCATATATTTCTCCCATCATTCTTATGGGTACATAAACACGACTTTCAGAAACCAGTCCTTATATATGCATTTCCCTCCAGGTACCATCTTATTTCTCTGCCGACACTTTCCAGCAAAACTCCTTTCCACTTCCTCCCCTCTCGATAGTTAGCTTTTATCTTACTCCACCTAAGAGCAGCATTTGCTAGTATTTAACACACTTTCCTTCTTGTCATTTTCCTCTAGACTTCAATGATGCACACTAATGCAGTGTTTCTCCTTTCACTGACATGCCTTCTCAACCTCCTTTACAAGCTCCTTATCTTCTATTATTTTTCTAAATAATTCCTAAAACCTCTTCTCCTCTCTATCTATGCTCTACCACCAAACGGTGCCATCTAATCCCATGGCTTTAAAGAACCCCCATAAAGTAATGACTTCCTCCCCTACACCTACAACTCAGAGTACCTCCCTGAGTATTAGACTCAAATCTTTAGCCTATTTGAGTCTACTTAAAAACTTCAATTGTATTTTTGAAAGCCACTACAAATTTAACACAGAAAAAGCCAATCATCTATCACCAAATTATCTCCACTCTCAAAACTTCCCTCCCCAACACCCGCCTCCAACACTGGCACTGGCCCATCACAGCTAATGGCACTATCCAGTTGCCCAAGTCAAAAATAAGTCTAGGAATCACACATAATCCACCTCTTTGCATCATGCATCCCACACCCCATTCCAATCCAGTAAAGTTCTGACAACTCAAAATCCAAAACACATCTTAAAACTGACCACACCCTACCATGTCCACTAAAACCCTGGTGCATATCTGCACCATTACCACACTAGACCCAGGCAACGGCCCCTTAAAAGTCTCCATCCTCCACTCCTCATCTCCCCCATTCCCTACCCCAGTACACATATGCTACACACAGCAGTTAAACTTATCTTTTTAAAGCAATAATTCAGACGTTCTCCCCCTGCTTAAATCTCCTCTGTGACTTCTCTTTAAAATAAATAAATAAATAAATAAATAAATAAATAAATATGTGTGTGTGTGTCTTAAATCCTTATCATGACCTACAAGAACCTACACAGTCTGTCTCTCTTCTCTTTAGTCCCCAACCCTAGCCTCCCTGCACTCTCTATGCTCCACTACACTGGATTTTTTTGTTTAGACTTTTCCTGCCTCAAACATTTTGTTTTTACTGTTTTATGCTAGTAATGCCTGCCCCTTGTACCTTCAAACAACGTTCTCCTTCTCATCACCCGTGGTTTATGGCCTATCTTCCCCTGAGCCACGCCTGTTAGACTAAAACCCCCAGGGCAAGAACTCTGCCTGCCATCACCCCCGTACCTCTAGAAGAGTGCCAGACGGAGCAGGCAGTGAGTAAACACCTGGTGACTACATGAATCACCAGTATTATCACTAAGACCTCTTCAATCTCTGACATTCGTTCAATAAATATACATTTGCTCATTACCCGTATTTTCTGGCTGTAATCATCTGTGAGTACTGAAGCACTGCTTTGATCCTGTGGCCCAGAAAGCACAATCTCCTGAGCAGGTCAGTTCCACTGTCCAAAAGTCAGGAGTAACCACAAACAATACATACAAGGTCTGTCCAGAAAAAGTCAAATCACTGTTAACATAACAAGAATGGTTTGCACGACATCAGTGTAACCTGGCAGCCAAGGAGAATGGACTGGAATGCATGTGCGTGAATGATGATGGCTTTACTGTACTAGTGGGGGTGGGGGGAGCAGTAGACTCCATGTGTGAGCATGTGTACTGTGTGGCCGTGGCATTCAAAACGACTGACTCAACCAATGAATCTGCACCAAATTTTGAGTTAAGCCTAAACATTCCTCTGCAGAAAGTATTTGGATCATTCAGAAGACTGCAGCTATGGGCAAATGGTGTTGGCAGCTTCATCACAACATGCCTGCTCATGCATCACATCTCCTGAAATTCTTTGGCAAAACAGCAAGTCACCCAGGTGACTCAGCTCCTCTACAGCCCAGATTTGGTACCCTGAGACTTCTGGCATTTCCCAGAACTAAAATCACCTTTGAAAGGGAAGAGATTTCAGACCATACATGAGATTCAGGAAAATACAACAGAGCAACTGATTGTGATTTGGAGAATTGTGTGAGGTCCCAAGGTGCCTACTTTGAAGGGGACTGAGAAGTCATTGTCCTGTGTACAATGTGTCTTCTTCAATAAATGTCTCTATTTTTCATATTGCATGGTTGGATATCTTCTACACAGATTTTGCATACTAATTTAGTTGCCAGTAAAAATTCTAAACACTTTAGAAAAGCCGAAGCAATCTAGATTCATTCTCCTTCCTTCTAAATAAAGGGAAGAGACCTTCAAATAAATCATAAACAATCCCGTAATCATAAACAATTAAGATACATGACAGAATAACCACTTGCCTGAGGAAACTACTTGGAATACACAAGCCAATACTACCATTGACACTTCAGCTAACCTCAAATAAGCATAACATTTACCCTTTAAAAAAAAAAAAAAAGGCAAAGAAAGGTTTCCAGGAAAAGACACCAATATTCCTTGCCATTTGAAGAAGAAGAATAACCACTGAAAACTTCTCAATCTAAATGGCATAAGCACACATTATTCAATATAAGATAACTCTTGGTTTCAAACTCAGTTATATCTTAAACTAGTAATACTTGTAAGTAACAAGTCTACTTCCTTTTACTATATAAAACTTCTTTTCATTTTTTCCCTACAAAGGTCTATATTAATATCACAAAAGACAACCTCAAGAAGAAAATCCTAAAGTTAAGAAATTTATAATATGTCCCTGGCTGGTGTGGCTCAGTAGAATGAGCACTGGCCTGAGAACCAAAGGGTTGTTGATCCGATTCCTGGACAGGGTACATGCCTGGGTTGTGAGCCAGGTCCCCAGTATGGGGCGTGTAAGAGGCAACCACACATTGATGTTTCTCTCCCTTTTTTTCTCCCTTCCTTCCTTTCTGTCTGAAATAAATAAGTAAAATCTCAAAAAAAGAAATTTATAGTATGTTAATAATGTCTCCCCAGCTCCCTGAACTTCCTATAAATATATATACCAAAGAAAGAAAACATGGATTTTAGCTATCTGGCTGTGTGCCTTGGTTTTAGCAATATAATTGAGTCTTCAGCCAACTCAGTTAATCTCTCAGACCCTCAGCTTTCTCATTTAGAAAATAGGAAGCAATCAATTACATATTCTCTGAAGTATCAGCCTAGCACTAAATTTCGACAATTCGCTTCCACTTTCAAGTTCAGTCAGTAATAATGTAAAGATCATACATTTTCAGAATAGACCAAACAGGCAGTTTAACACAAGCTAGTAAACTCTCCATGTTATCAGTAGCCTCTGCCTGTTTCTCCTAGCTTAGGGCCATTGTGATTCTAACATTCTCTTTAATTATAGTAACATTGAACAACATGAAAAGTTTACAGTCAATCTCTGAGCATCTTGAGAATTTTTAGAAGTAAAAATGTAATACAGACTAAAATGTAATACATACATATCTAAAACAGGAGTATGGGACTATGTTTAATAAAATTATATTCTGTGGGTATGCATCAGGACATATGTGATTTCCATATTTTATGTGAATTCTGTGTTCATATGCAGCAGCACATATATGTAATTTTTTTAAAACTGACCCATAGTTTCCATCTGGTTATCAAAGATGTCAAAAACCACTGATTTAAGAGTTTTGCTTCTAGTGTCCTACTGTAAGAAAAGGCAATCATTGATCACTACCTAACAATTCACCTTGAATCAGCAGTTCAAGTATATACTCGGCTTTACTCCATGCAAACCAACCACTTCTATCAGATATAAAATGCTAAAAATAAATAAATAAATAAACAAACAAACAAACAAGCCTTAAATTCTGAAAAGGTCACAGACCTACTGAAGTTTATTTAACCTAATACAGGTAGTCAACATTGTACTTGAACAGAGCAGCTTCTCCCCCCCCCCACTCCACCCACAACAAATGACTTAAACTAGAGAAAGACTGCCATCTAGTGATAGCCCGTTTCTAACATTCCTTGAAACTGAAATTTGATGTGACCGAATTAGAGGGACTGCTCAAAAACTGAAAAACTAGCTCTGACTGGAACGGCTCAGTTGTTGGTTGGACATGGTCCCACAAAGCAAAAGGTCATAGGTTCGATTCTTGGCCAGGGTACATGCCTGGGTTGCAGTTTTGGGCCCTGG